ACCATATGAACGCTCGCTTGACTGTCATTTGTTGGAGACGCTGCGGTTGTGTGGTCTTTCTCACCTGTGTGTATTTTTGCATACTGTCTCTACAAAGTTGACAGTCTGAAGAATATTGTAGTCTCTGAACCAAACACACAGGCTATGCGGATAGCCCAATGTTATCCACCTGACGGCTGGATTTGTGCTGCATCGGATACGCTTTCATTATCGTTTGGGTGTTAATTTTCGGTGTCTTCATTACGAGAGTTCACAGTGCCCGTCAACGTTAAGGGCCATCTGGTTTTAGTACTGTTACCAACCATTTTTTATGAGAACTGTATTTCGCAGTGGACCACGGGCACTGTTTACGTCAAACCTAACTCGGGAAAGTTGGTATGGACCTCGAGTGTGTATTTTGTGAAAAATAACTTTTACGTACGATTGATCAATGGTTTACTGCCGATGCAAAAGCAAATTACAGAAGAGTAGTAGGGGGAGTTGAATGGTATAGGTAGAAATTCGTCACATCTAGACTCATTCAGATAGCTGTCACACACCCGGAAAAGCACTGTGCGCACGTTTCATCCTTTCGGGAATCGTCAGCACTGCGTATTCCATCGAACCCTGGTAGGGCTCGAACCCGCAACTCGACTGTTGCCAGTCAGTGGTTGAGACCACCGAGCTATGGGAGACGGCAACGACCATCGTAAATAAGTTACTAGATGTGATATAGGGCCGCTCACTATCCACTGACTTACATGTTACTGTCGTGCAGCGGACAGGGTAGCCCCGTCACCAGTCTCGGTGTGAAAAAAAACATCGGATAGTGTGTCAGAGAACGCACCGTAAAGTTCAGATGTGTTCCATTTGGTTACCTCATGTCGTAGCACAACGAAGTAGGGTCCAATCACGTGATAGTAGCTTCCAGCTGTTTTTCAAATACGAATGAGGTAATAGCGCCTGCCGGAACGGCGTTCCACGGTGATCACAATTAAGGTGAGAAGAAGTCCCGTCAGCATTCAATCAGCTATACTGCGTGACTACCTTTAACCGGTGATCTCGTGGGACTGTTTCCTGGCTACGTTGACGTTAAGTGTGGTTGAGTTTTCTTAAGAACCAGCTACTACATCGTAAGTCAGCCCTTAGATCCCCCTCAAGCTAATTTGGTAAGAGGGATGGACAAATCTTTGGCATTTTTGGTCGCCTTTAGTTACGGTTTCTCAAACAAATGGAGAAACTGCTTTTACCAGATCTACCAGGCCCATATGACACTACCCGAATGGAGCTTCATGTAAGCGCTGAACACTTTCGAGCAGTCTGCAAAGGCCTATGTGCTGTTTCTTCCTTGTATTCTGAGCAACTATGAGCATTATGAGATCGCCTTATGGAAATTCCGCTACCAAGATTAGTGTCTTAGCAAGTACGCACAACTGACGTTCAACATCTTTCATCTGGCCGTGTTAAGGTGAAAATTATAGTGAGCCGATCGCTTCTAAGTCTGGCTAAGCGAACGGATGGGCCTAGGCTTCACGAAAGTATTACGAGGTGGTCGCTTTCCCACCCCTGCCCCAGTGTAACAGTTGGAAGAGAACTCCCATATGAATTGAACCGACTGATTGCGGGTTGCTGCAGGTACGGTTTCTATCTGTCGTTGTTCACACAGATACCACAAAAACAACGGTGGAGTTCTTTTGAATACATACTTTTCGGTTTGCTCATCACGTCTCCGTTTCTCTTCAACGTCTCTCTTTGACACCGAAGTGAAACTTGACTGCTTGATTATTATCGATCAATAGTGGAGTTTGAATAGTGTTCAGTCTGCCTTTTATAACCTCCGTTATAACAATTTCTCGCACCTCTAAGGGGCTTGCTGATCAAGAAACTTAGTTATCAGTCACGAGGTCTAGAGAATATGTGTCCTCCGGATGCATCCGTGTGTGTGACTCGAAACTCGTACGCTGTCCTTCACCCCGCTGCCTCGGTTTACGCTGTTTTCCAACACGAACCAACCTAGTGAACTGTCGAGGTGACCAGCCAGCAACACGACTGAAAGGGATTAACCCCTTCTTACACAAGCAAGAACTATGATCCAGGAAATTATTGCTTATGTTGGTAGTCATGTACTAGGTTTCTTAACATAGTGATGGAAAAATGTCGGTCGTTCATTGTCAATTACGAAAATATGTTTGAAAATAAACTTTTGTACCTGTGTACATTTGTACACATAGTGTACAAAGGGGTTAAGGAGTTTACAGACTAGCTGAGCTTGATCGTTGCATGTCGTCTAGCCGGATAGGGGTCAAGGCCATAGGCGTAGCAAGGGGGGTGAGGGCGGTCCGCCCCGGACGGCATTTTTAGTACCGTTGGTTATCCGATACCAAATATAAAGGGCAAAATTTCCAGCTAAGCTGAGGGTTGAATATTTTGATCCTACTCTGTATGACCAACAACACCTTTGCGCCATATTTCCCACGTGTGCGTAAACCTTTTTCCCTTACCTGTCCCATTGTGGTCACTTTCATCACCTTACCTGAGTATTCTGAACGATCATCCAGTTCATTGAAAACTATTGGGCACTTTACCCTGAGCCGATTTTGAGGGTTTACCGATTTGCAACTGCCAGCTGAATGTGAAACTTTTACCACCGCCCGGGGCGGCTACGCCACTAATCAAGGGGCAGATCACATGAGCGGATGGGCATCCATCGAACTTAACGCAGTCATGAACTTAATGCCATTCATTTATTTTCGACCCTATCTGACGATTCTATCCTTCCCCCAGTTCCTTTTGGCTCTTCTTTGTCTATCACTCCTGCTGGTGCTGCTGCTGCTGCTGCTGCAATTGGAGCCAATGGGTCGGATGGGTCGCAATTTGGCGTGCAGCACATGCGATATGTGTCAGAAACTTCCAGGATTGATGTCACAAACATTTATCTCAGATCCAAACTTCACCGGAATCTAGTGCGCTTTCCCTTTCCTCCCTTTTACGTTTAAATGCAATCCGAGGGGAATTCTTTTGGGATCCTCCGTAGCTCCGTCGTCACGAACGTTTTGATGTCGTTCAACTCTTCAAAAAGGCGGGACCCCCTTGAACTTGGAGATGATGCAAACAATCCCATTCCCGATCGTCTTGAAACCGAACCAGATTTGCCAGGAAGGGTCACCAACGGTGATGAGGTATGGATTTTTGACTAAGACCCGGAGACCAAAAGCCGTAGCCTTCAGTGGAAGAGTCCATCGTCACTAAGACCGAAAAAAACACGATAGTTGAAGTCTAAAGTCATAGTCATGTGGACCACATTCTTCCTCATGAGGGATCTCGTCCACTGCGAGTTTTGCCACAGGACCAGATCATCAACTAACAGATCTACAAAGTGATGTTTCAGCGTTTGCTTCGTTCATTGCGTGAGAAGAGACGAGAGTTGTGGCAGAACAACTTGTGGTTGCTTCACCATGATAACTCGCCAGCTCACAGTGCTCTGAGCATCCGCCAGTTCCTGTCCGAGAAGAGTATCGCCAAGCTGCAGCAACCTCCCTACTCACCCTACCTGCCTCCGTGTGATTTCTTCCCCTTCCCCAAAATTAAGGGGGTTATTAAGGGAGCAGTTTTGAAGACATGAACGGCAACGATAAGACCGTGGCGACGGAGCTGCGGGGGATCCCGGAAGAATCCTCCCAGGGGTGTATGTAAGCACAATGCAATAGGATGGGAAAGCGCGTTAGACTCCAGGGAGTTTACTTTGAGGGGGAAAACTCTGTGAAGTGTGGGGCTACAATAACTCGTTTGCGACACCAGTCCTAGAATTTTTCTGACACATCTCATAGCTCACCATTTGTACTGAGCATGCTTACTCCATTTTAACAACAGTCTATCGAAAAGCGATACACACTGATCAGATCAGAACTATCGCAGTAACCATCCGGCCGATTACAAGCGCTGTTGCGTGAGGACCCAAACACACTGTAGCACGCTGCAGCTGGGGAAGACGGAAGACGACCACCTATTTAACATGTTCCAGCGGAATTCGTACCCTAAAAGTTTTATTCTACGCTGCCTGAAGTTGGAAAATCAACCACAGCCCGCTTCCGCAAGCGCAACGGAAAGGAAAACATTCGTCCTGCTTTACATCCATGGGATTTCTGAGATGGCAGCGAGGCTTTTAATGGTTCACGGGATCAACGTTGCACATGAAGCAATGGAAACTATTCGGAGTAAGCTTTGCAGGGCAAAAGACCAACTGAGTAGAGAAGAAACAGCAGGTGTGATGTACAAGCTTTGTTGCAAACATTGTGACAATTACTACGTGCGCTAGGCAGGGAGAAAACTTGGAACAGGACTGCATGAACACAGTCTGGCCATCCACCGCCATGATGAAAAATCACCAATGTCAGTACATGTGGATGCTGAAAGCCATCAGTTCGATCTGGAGAACGTCAAGATACTTGGAAGAGCAAAGAACCGCAGAGCGCGTGAGTATTCGGGCCGGAACTCAATCAACAAATATCTAGAACTCGAAGGGGTCTACGGAGCTCTGCAGGTGAGGTTAAAAATAAGTACCAGATCGACAGGGCGTAAACGTGGCCACTTGGCCGACCCACGTAAGCCAATAGAAGACACACTCAAATCAGGAGATGATCAATAGTCACTTAGATCTGGCAGTGGTTTACGAGACTGCAAATCAGATATCTGTAGCCGCACTGAGAATGTTGCCTAGTTTGACAACAAAACGTCTGTGCCTCGCTCGGAGAACACAACAATTCTCTTAACCTCCGTGTTTTTCCAAAACTGCTCTTTACTCTTTATGTCTCTTGCGTTGAATCAAAGTAAAGAACACCAAGGACTGTGGGAATAGTTTAATGAAACCACGATTTCCCATGTTTATTCCACATTTTACGTAGACCGCCAACATTTAATCCGCTTCTTAACGTTTTGCACTTTGGTCGAAACTATTCATTTTATCGTGAAGCTAACACCATTCTATATATTTATATTCGCTCCACTCCGCTTCTCATTAGAAGAACCCTATGTCCCCAGTTACATGAATTCCTCTGGTCCCGATCTGTGTGTGGTTTGTGGAGACAGTGCCACCGGACTTCACTACCGTGCCATGACATGTGAGGGCTGTAAAGGATTTTTTCGACGATCAGTCCAAAAGAAATTGAACTACGTCTGTAAAGCTCAAGGTAATTGTGCCGTTTCGGACAAACGGAACCGGAACACTTGTCAGAGCTGCCGGTTTGACCGATGTCTCAGTGGGGGAATGGCGAAAGAACGTAAGTCTCTTCGAGAATTTGCTCATAGACTCATATGTAGTTTTATATATCTCCTATTTTTCATCCTTACAGATAGATGTGGAACGCAATCGAAGGTACGGTAATAGTAAAAAGAGAATCGAATATTACAAAGGAACTCCCGTGTTTCTGTCTAAAGACACGATACTACCCGGTTGCCCAAGCCAAAGTATAGAGATGACTTAGGGGGCACCACCCTGAGCATTTGGCTGAATAGCCTACCCGGAAGGAAGCCGAATGAATTTAGGGAATCCCGCCTATTGGGAGTCGGTGACCGGTTACTCACTGCATACTCCTTTCATTTGGTCCTTTGCCAAACAGGGGCACAGCTTCCCACACAATTTCAGCTGGAGGCTCCTGGAATACGACGCTCCACCATCGTGAAGCAAGAGGCAGTAGCTCTATTTTTTGTCAGTCACATCCGCCACATCACAGTTTTGGTGAAAGTTTTGTGGTTGTTTCTAGGGGGAGAGTGCTTGCCGGGCGAAAACTCACCACATCCTTGTACGGGGGCAACCCCGGACCACCCAGCTGACACAACAAGGAGGGTGTTTGACAAGCCAGCCTCATGTCGTCGACTCATGATATCTTCGTAATCTGGTTCAAATATCTACACTCATCCGTTGGTACCACAACTTAATCGATGTATGCAGATAGGGCAAGATCCGAGTAGCTGATTTATCCCTTAAGGTGTGATGGCTTGCCTGCACACTAATATGCGGTACTGATTGTTCCGGATGTATCAATCCGTTTGGATACACGACCAGATCGATCTCCTATGGTTTATTGATTTTGTACCCTTCGTGTCTGCACTACCTAGTTGCTTACAGTTGGACACACTTCACATGCCCACCACTCGTACATTTGCCTTAGTTGGACCAGCTTAACCCCGGAGTCACGTATTCATCACGAACCGTCTAGGTTTTAAGTAAACGGCGATGGCAATGGCGGTTGAGCATGGCTTCTCTATTTTTCATGGTAGGGTTCGCGGCCATACGTATTTCAAAGTCGATGGTAATCTCTTGTACTATGATGTGTTTAGTCGACCATTTTGAGATAATTTCAGGTGGGTTTGTGAACGCCGTGACGAAAGGTTGCCTACTGCGTGTACGTGGTACGTTTTGTCTATGCAAACGCGGGCCGATCTGCAACGCGCACTCAGATCTGAGCAGGTGCTGCGAAGCGGTGCATAGTTGGAGTGCAGCCAAAAACCTTTGGATCACTTCTTCGACTCCGTGGACACTACGCTATCCGACCGTCTAGCGGAATCTTATTAGTTTATCTTATAAATCAAACTTCACTTCAAACGTTCACCTGACACACTGACTGGACACTAATTATGCAACCGGAAGCATTAGTAGACGAATTCCAAATCAATGAGTTGGTATTTTTTAACTTTGACGATCGATTCAATTGTACACTAATGACAGGCTGCCTCCGGTGACTCGATCAATGCTTGTTTATCTTTACTCGTGCTCCTGCGGTGCACGATACGTGGGTCGTACTACGAGGCGCCTATCTCATAGGATTTGCGAACACATACCGAAGTGGTTTTACAAAGGCGAAGCGGGGTCTAGTGACATCTCCATCTTGTCGCCCCTTCTAGAATGCGGTCACGCAGGGGACGGACAATGATTTCAGAGTCCTCCATACTATCCCTAAACGTTTCTGGCGCGGATTCCGGAAGCATCTCTTGTCTATTTCGGAAGCTATCTACATCCGCCACTTCAAGCCAGAATTGTGCGTGCACAAACAGTTTGCACGTCCTTTGCTTCTATCGTGGCCTACGACCTCTGCTGTGATTTTCCCCGTACATAATTTACCATCCTCAATGACCCCGTGATTTATTGATTTGTTCTCGTTGGAATTAAACATTCTGATCAATACGCAGCCCAATCCGGCACATTTAGCACTTTGTCGTCATCATGTAATGTTTGAGTCTGATGAGAATTACCGAAAAGAATTCTTTACTCAGATTCTGCCTCTCTTGATTCATTCTATCTGAAATGAGTTCGGTTGTGTAGCCTCAAGCCAGACTACAACACAGTTGGGCCGGTCACAGTAGACGGGCTGCTAGAAAGCGTAATGTGTGAATCAACGTGCACATATCTCATAATGACGATAACGCTAAAATTAGGGTAGTTGCGGTAGCTGCGAATCAATCATTGCCCAAAGCGGATCTCCGGCCCGTAACCGAAAGGATCACACGACTGTCTGGTAATCCGGAGGTCGCGTGTCCGAGCTTACGTAGGTGACCGGGACACTCGCAGTATCCTTCGCCCACGCGTGACTGGTGGTGGTTGCGTTGCAACGAAGCGTCGGTACTGCCTACCGGCGTACTGCTGATGCCTCTCTGCGCCTCCGATGGGATCCAGTCTTCAATAAAATCAATAAATTTGGGGTCTGTGAGAAGATTGAGGAACAAAAATAGTCAAAGGATGAAATCAGATATCTGGTTGATGAGCAACCTTATTCTTTGGCCGGTTCTGACTTTCTCCTTACCATGACAACTGTTGTTTAACCTAGAACTCTAACTAGCCGCGCATAGTAGTGGTAAGCCACACAAGGCAGGGGGTGGGCGATAGACGTGTGCGACCTTGCTAACGTAGGTGCTTCAACTTCAACGAGCGTCTCAGGGCGGCACTGGACTGTAAGTCGCCAAACACCGACAGGTAGACATCAGCACTATCCATTCGTGCAAGTGTGTCTACCCCGCACAGCATCCCGCATTTGACCTGGGGGCTGATGTATCACTGCTGCAAAGTAAATTGTGATTTTAAATTGCCACTCGAATTAAGCTAATCCATTCGATGCTCTCTTCGGTTAAATGATAAAATGGAGGTCTTGTAGTTGTCTCGACTTTCGAACAGATCGACTGTCTCAGCAATGGCCCTCCGGCCGTATGGGGATCTGAGACTGCGTCAGCCCACCATGCATGTTGTCAAGAGGAACAGAGAGTAAACTGGGCCACTGTGACTCGGTTTGCTCATCGAATATTAATCAATCTACATTCAAACTGTCTCGATGCAAGCTCACTTATTGCAAACACCATCATCATCATTACACACGTTAACTGCAGGTGGAAAACACCTCAGCTATTGTGCCGCAATACACAAGACAAGGAGAAGAAGAAGAAAAACAACAGTGGCACGCCTGCTGAGTCCCCAGTAACGGATGGACATCGTTCCGGAGAGCTAATAGCCAGCTCTAGTGCCACAAAATAGAGTTATATTATGCGTAACGAATAAGATCGTGCTTGGAAGGGGAGACTAAGTAGGTGGGGGATGAACAAATGAACGCACAACACGAACGCCATTGGGGCCGGCTCCTAGCCATATCATCAAGTGTGTCCAACCAAACTTGTTCATCGTCCTTAGGACCCCAGCCAGGCAGTCGGATGCACCAACCGACGCCAACTTCGAAGTGAGGGTTTCATTCCTCTCGACCAAGTCATCGCTTGGCCTCCCCTCCTCCTCTTCCAACCGCATACACAACGCGCAAACAATGCACGTCGCGGAAGTCGGTGTGCTGGCATGCGCAAGACGTGGCTCAGCCATCGGAGTCTGATGCTTGATATAATGGTGCTGAGCGGTTCACTCGCTCTTCCTGCAAAATATACACTACGCCCTACACGCTCATTGCACACGCGGTGCTCCCACCAGACATGAGCTAAGCTGCGAAAGCAGCGATGATCGAAAGTGACCAGCATCTTTATGTCTGTCGACCTGATGGGCCAGGTTTCACAACTATATAGGAGAGTTGAACGAACGGCTGCGTTATAAACTCTGCCCTTCAGGGCAAGAGTAATGTCGCGTCTGCGCCACAGGTGGCGGAGATTGGCAAAAGCACCTCGAGCATTGCTATGCGGTTCGTAACTTCATCTTCGATCCCACTGGCGCTAATATATCTGCACAGGTACTTGAATTGCTGAACGACTTCTAGCTGATCACCACCAAGGGTCAGCGCAGGGGTGGGTCCCTACGAATCTTGAAGAACTACTTTGCACTTCGATGGGGCAAAGCATATCCAAAACGATAGACAGCCAATGCTAATCGGTCCGTTGCTGCTTGGCAGATTAGGGCAATATCGTCCGCATACTCCAAGTCAAGAGGTCGTTCACCAGGAATTAGCTCCATACCTTCTAGGTCGTGTCCAGCGAACCCTGTTTCCATGTCTTCTTCGACTGCGAAGTTAAAGGGGAAAGGTGACAGCGGGCAACGTCGTATCACACCGCTGGAGATATTGAAGGGCGGTGGCAGTTTACCATAAACCCTCACTCTGTCAGAACTATGCGCGTACAGCGCTTTGATAATGTTTACATGTTTTTCGGGCACACCTTTTCTCAGCAGACAGTCCCAAAGGACACATCGATCCACCGAATCGAAGGCACCTTTTATGTCAAGAAACAGAACAACGGTGGGTCGCCAATAAACATGGCTGTGCTCCAATTTACGCAAAGTGAAGATGTGCTCGATGCAGCCTCGATTTCGACGAAACCCGGCTTGCTGTTCGCGGATCTGGCCTTCACAAGCACCAGTCAGTCTGTGGAGAACGACAGAGGCAAGCAGTTTAGAGGCAAGTTAGATCAGACTGATCCGTCTATGGTTACCGCATTCCGAACGGGATTCTCCCTTGAAAATTGGAACAATGACGGAGCGGTTCCAGTTTGTCGGGACAGTTTCCTGCTTCCAGTTCCATTAGCAACTCGTGTAAATCATCTACAAGAGCAGGTCCCCCGAATTTGTAGAGTGCTGGGGGAATTCCGTCTGCACCAGCGGCCGTATGCAATTTCAACAGTCTAATCTCACGTTTGCCTTCTGCGCGTGAGGGTGGATCTAATTAGATGGCCCATGGAGAAGGGCACTCAATGCCCGCAAGAGAAAGCGATAACTCAGATTGGTTAAACTGCCTTGCAAAGTGTGCGGCCCAATGTTCCAAGCGTTTGGATAGGCTATGGATCGGCTGTCCATTCTCTTGGCGTGGGGACCTCGCTAACACCACCAGATCTCCTGCTGCCTATTTCCCGGATCAAATGCACGCAACTCATCGTTTATAGCGCGTTTAGGATGCGGACTTGGGTACACGGTATGCATGTCTTCGGAATCCATTACATCCCTATGACACTGTTTATTGGGGTGGCATGGTTCAATTTCGCGTCTTGAAAATGGGTTTCGCACCTCTGCTGGACACTATCTTGAAAGTGACGTACGCGTACACCTTTAGCGCTCTGCTGCTATCGCATATGTACTGTTTGACAGCGGCTTCTGCATATATCTAGTCGTTTCAAGTGATGCGTTTTTCACCATCAATTTTGTCTTCAGAATTTTCACGGAGTATGTTCGGGTTGCTACTTACGATTTCAAACTGAACGGTGAAATGTTCTCAGGTAAAATTTAGACATTCCGATGACTGGACTAGCATCCGAAGTGTTGGTCGCTCCTAAATCACCGGGTTCGTTCTCCTTTGGAACTCATACGCAGAAACAGCCTAGTTGAGTACCGAATTGGCATCCATCTTGACGGTTAAGTACTCTGCACGCTACTTGTCACACTCTAGACACACAGGAGACACTTAAAAATCCTGCAATAGCCTTTGCATCAAGTGTCGCCCGCGGAACCTGATGGCCTGTTGATGAGAGCATCAAACGACAACTGTTTCAATCATATCCCTATTTGGTGAGCACAAACAAGGATGAGACTGAGATGGTGGTGGAGTAACTAGTTACAAGAATTACCAAGATGCGCTATTAACTACCAGTGCCTTCGTTTCATCCTGCTCGGCATTTTACTGGGCTTTCGGAGGGGTGCTTTGGGTGATCAGTTCTTTCAGCCCCTCGAGTAGCAACTGCATCACGTCGCATGAACCATCTCTCATAACATCATTCGTTGATTAGTCTTAGCATTGCTGATTTATAGAAAACCAGACTAGTCGCCTAGCCAAATCAGTTTACAATACTGGGTCCTGTGAGCTGCGGGCGCCGACATCTGTCAAGGCCGATTCCGATCCATAGGTGGCTGATGGTAACGAGCATCTGTTCATAAACTCACCAACTCGCGACATCAGTGTCGAACTCATAGCACAGCCATTTCACTGTGGGGGATGTAACGATAACGTAGGTACTACAGAGGCATCCACCACGGCCCGAAGGTGAGACCGTGCCCGTAGTTGGCTTGGATAGCCACAGGGCTCTTTGAGCATCTCAATGGTTCATTTATCTTAGGGGCAAGCAGATTGCACTAACCCATTGCAGTTTCATTCACCTATACACATTTTCAAGGTAACAAGGCGAACTGATGCTTAACTTTGGAAACCTTGTCAACAACTCTCGGGTTGCCGGTCCCGTCGGTAGCTAGAAACAGTTGAGTTTCAGTTGACTTGTGCATGTAGCCTCTTAGCTGGAACTAGATGCAAAGTAATGACATTGGCTCCGTGTGTCTTTTTCAGCGTCCTTCCATTGCAACTGTAACCTCTTCACTCGTAGCACTATAGTATTTAACCCTTTTCGAATGGAGCTGCGCTCACATAACAGCACAGTTGAACTTAATTTCACTTTATTGATTGGCCCTCACACACATCAGTTGTTATTTGAATCGTACCCAAGTGACCTTCGACTGCTGATCTGTTCCTTCTATATATTCCACAGTCGTTCTGGACGAGGATAAGCGCATTGCCAAAAGGCGCCTAATTGAAGCGAACAGAGCGCGTAAGCGTGCAGAAGCTGGACGCAACTCACCTGTTGCATCCTCCACCGTCGTAATCCCTACTGTGCCCAGGATACTAGCCCCCAGTCCTTCGGCCACACCTATGCTTCAGCCTGGATCCACGTCAAACCCAACTTCTTTATTTTTGCCCTCCAATCAAGTGTCCACCTCATCTTATCCGGATCCCCTCACGATCAACGATCTGGCCGGAATGCCTCAACTTTCTCTAAATGTCCCCTTCGCTCGGCTAGGCTGTGGTGAACCTCCGGCGGCCCCAATCTACTGGCAACCACTCTTTAGGGCACAACCATCTGCTCTTTTAGGATCAGCTTCTGATGCTGTGAACCAGCCAGCATCACATAACAGATTTTTCCCCACCTATCCATCCCATGGCCAACTCAGTGTTCAAGATCTTGTGTCTGGGTCTATCTATGCAGTAGAACCTAAACGTATTCGTTTTACTGAGTCCACGGAGGTTACCTTACCACTGACTTCTGGTTATCAAAGATCCAGAGATGTTTCCAATGCCAGTCTCCCTCTGCCGGCTGCCGATAGCGTTGGGCACTATACCGAGGCGGTCATCCGCTGTCCCGCACTTCCCCCCGCAAATGACTGTCAATGGACCGTGGAAGATCAGCGTACGGTGGAATCCATCCGACAAGCATATCGGACCATTCTTATCCCCTCTGACTATACAAAGGTAAATCGCCAACATTCAAACGGTGGTACGACTTTTCGTTGCCTTATCTGGAACTGTCTCGTAACCTTTATGCACTTTACCTTATGTCTTGAGAATCACAGGCTCCAAGGAGAGGCAGTATTTGAAATGCCATTGATTGATAGAGATACCAGAAACTAACAACTATTTAATCAACTAGTCGATCAACTCACTGTTACCACACATTTGATCGTCTACGCCAACTCCACGTGTTCGAACAGTCCACTTACTTGCTTATATCGAGTCTCTGTTGTGAAACATACCTCTTGACTGCTTTAGCACTACTCGAAACAAGTTACTTACAATATGACTGCGTTTCTGCATTTTGTCCTTAAAAAGATCGAGGCGGATGCAGAGAAAACTTCTGAGAGGCCGTTTCAACAGGCTAGTAACAGCAACAACGGCGATACCGTCAGCGTCAGCAGCAGCGTGCTTATAAGTCTACTGATTGAACCAACGATCGCGCGGCTCGTGGCCTTTGCGAAGCTTGTCCCTGGATTTGGAATGGTAAGCGGATAACACATGCATTCCTCTTCTTTTTGCTCGATCTCTTCCGTGCCGCGCAAGTGCTGAGTTCGTGATGGCGTGTTATGTGTGTTCGAGTCCTAGATAACCAATCGATTCACCCTTAACTCATCAACATTATAAGTGCCATCGGAAATCATGGTGTGTCCGATGGGACCACTAGCATATTTCGTAGGGGACTACGACAGCCATACGGCGTATGAGTGCAGCGACCTTAGAAAAAGAGCTTCTATCAAACCACATCATAGCACATATCGGAAATGACGGGACTCACCTATACCTCGCTACGTTAGCTGCCTCACACAGTCGAGCGCATATTGTATTTATTTATTTATTATCACTGCGCTACAGTTTCACTGCGGCTATAGCTACTCTATGCGTCTGATCGAAAATGATTGCAAATATGTGAACGGTGGGCAGATCAGAATGGTTAATAGTCACACGGCTCTAGCGCCCTACACCATGGGGCAGCCAGTGCTCAGTTTTGCTCCAGCGTTCACTACCATATCCCGAGATCGACTCGTTGGTATTCAAATACACATCTTCAGGGATCTGTCCAAATCACAGAGGACGCTAGCGACGACAGAGATGGTCACTGAGTGCCAATCACCAGTTAGATTCGAGCGACGCATCATGCTTTTTGGGGACGGCTTTAACCTGGTCCCTGCATCTGCTCTGGTGCATATATCAACCACTAGCTGTGCGATACTACGGCTTGGCTACTCCAGTTGTATGCATCATGGTCCGTGCCTTACTAGATACTCTCAGTTGTGCTCGCTGATATCTACGGAAAACCGCCCACATTTGCGATTCTAGTGAGCGGAGATGATTACTCTGGCACACTGATCCATCACCATTCGACTTTTGACAGCTGGTCCGATGCCATTCCGCTTCACTGTTCAGTGAATTTGTACCACATTTACGGATTAAACCATGGCTGTGCTGCATTCCTCTCGATCAGCTCTCTCAGTGTCATGTGATTTGTGAAGATAGTTATAGCGCAAACCTCCGCCGGTTGCTTGTATAACACATGTGTATCGAGAAGCTTTGGTGACTCCATTCCTCCTGCATGGTATATACCAGCTTGGTCACATAATCACTAGAACCGCCTGTTTATATGTCAGTAAGACCCATAACTTCGATCGATTAATTCCCACTACGAACCCCATCTTGACTACTTTACTAGCCTTCAACGTCTCCACATCACTTTTCCCTTATATTCCAAATTCTATTTAAACCTCCAAAGTTGACCACTTCTATATTGTTACGACATCATTAACTTGATCGTTTGATATTTTGCTGCATGAACCTTCACCATGTAAACCTTAGGGATCCAGACCTCTGTATATGATGACCGCTTTGATCCAGTCCCTTGCATCAGTTATACTGTATTTCGTTACGCCTCACCTCCTAATTTGTACAGTCGTGGTGAATTGAGATCCGTCAAGGTGGCCCGCTCCAATTCAGTCATCTGATCACCAACGACAACGGACTCGATCTCAGTACCACCATGTGACAACCATAGCGTAATTTGTCTGATGGAATTAGAGGACTAACAGAATGGGTGGTGCAGTTTTGAAACTGCAAGAAACTGTTGTCCCCGTAGTCGAGGAATTTCAGACCGTACCGTAGTTGCGTTAAGTCCTAAATACCGAGCCGCGTTTCCACACATCAGCTGTTTACTGTAGAGCCGTCTCATCGTAGCACTGTCCCGTAATGTAACCAAATGCACGGCCGGTCGCATCGATTCTTCTCACAAATCACTTCTGTTCGTGTCACTTGATATGACAACTGCGAAGTGAGCCTTACAGAGACACGAAGGCTGACATCGTGTACAGAACTGTAGTGTTTGTCTCACCTAGATCCACCGTATATAAACAAACACATCGGTTGATCTGGATGCCTCATAGCGTTGGTTCTGTGAATTCTGCTACCGAAGAAACGAGGATAATGAGTATTGGGCTTCATGCTTACATCCTGACTTCGACCACTGTGTTGTAGCCAGCGTACCTAATATGGAACGTTAGTTAGTTTTGCCACAATTTGTCAAGAACGATTGCAAGAATACCACTGGTTACGCAACTGTATCACATCCCAAAGATCATACCAAGGAAAACACAACAAGAATCTTCCCGACTGATGCATGTGTGTCATGTCACCTCGGAGTTTTATCCAGCTGGGCGCAGAGTTTGCAAGTAATACAAACCGGCGCGGTCTACTCGCGGGCATGCGGAGCACACGACTGAGCCAGTGAAGTTAATTCCAGTTCAACAGGCATTCCATTGAGGTCAGACAACGGATGCCGAACTTCAGTATTGCTGATATGGGAAATACTTCCGAGACATCGGAGGTCAAACACCACCGATATCTCCCCAGTAGGATGGGTTTCGGTGTTACACACTCCCAACACTGTACCCCACGACCAGTTTCGTACTCGTTTGGACTCGCAAGGCAGGAGTGGAACTCGGGACCTTAATGGTTAACTTTGAATTCCTACTCGCTGTGACAAGCAATGCTCACGGATCTCAGTGGCTCAGTGATCAAGGGGTCAGCCGTTAACCATTAAGTCCCGAGCCCCATTCCCAACTCAGGCTATCCCTACCTGATGAGCCCAAACGAGAATGCAAACGGTCGCAGTGTTGGAAGCGAATAACTCCGATGCCCAGCTACTTTGGATATGGTCCTGGCAATCGGAGTGACCGAGATCCACTTCAAAGTAAATCGAGATCCCAATAATGCTTATAAATCCCAACCCAACCACACGGCGGATGCTCCGAAGCCCCACCTTATATTCCTAGCGGGATGTTAGTGTTTGCGTTTGAAAGGACACTTGGCCTCACATCACGTTCAATATACATATTCATCCTCGAAATACAACCGTCACTGCCGATTGTCTATGTTGCACACGGTTTATTTAGACTGATCTGTTAAGCAGCGAACGGGAGTTTTGTTTATTGCGGTGTAAACTTCGTACTTCTAGAGTAGGAGTTCTGGCATATGGTTCCGGATTTGATTATCGTTATGTCTGCGAACAGCCACGGGGAATCCGCACTTACAGAGGAATCGTTTGCAATATGCACTGCACCGCGCATGGTCTCAGCCACACCCAGTGCAAACCAAAAGGAATAAGGGGGGCGAGGATGCGGATAAGTGCTACAACTGATCGAGAGTAAGCTCACACCCGTCGGTGCCGAAGGATCACGCGCGTGACTTGCAATCCGAAGGTCACCGGTTCGAATCCGCGTAGGTGCCGACGACCTCACGGTATACTGTCCACGCGCGTGACAACGACGCGTCGGTACGGTGTCGTCGTACTGTTGATGCACATCTTTCTCGATCGTTTACATCGTTGCAGCCTGGCTTACAAGCCGGCCACATAAGTCCAATTCTTAGGAAGCCTTATGAATTAGTTGCTTATTTCTGTTGCTATCCCATGTTCATTTTCTGCCCAATCCGTAACATTGTATATCCTTTAGGTGACTTTAAGATTTACATTCCACTAGCTTCCCCAGCCACTCAGCCGCGCACATCCGACCCATATTTGCCCTACTGTCTGGTTTGTCAGGCTATCGAATGATTTCAGCGTTTGTGTTTAATTGGTTACCATAGTAACTCCATACATTGCACTGATAGCCGATTCTTCGTTGGTGTTAACGTTTTGCTAGTCAGTGGATTGGTTGTCTGGTTGGTTACCTGACTGGTAGGTGGAATGATCGATCGATGCATCGATCGACACGCAAGCATATGTACGCACAGCCTGAATGAAGTGTATGCGGGTCAGTCGCATGGGGTCACTCAACGTGATGCGATGCGGGTGTGCCGATACCGGAACTTCAGATTCCACGCGTCAGTCGCCGCGGTCATTGTGATTGTCGTTTCAATTGCTGTGTTCAAACTTTGTCCATTTGTCAATTGTGTGTCACGGCTAAACTCAACCTCAACTGGCTTTGAGTTCCGAGATGAGCGACCGGGTACAAACAAAACTAAGCTATCTTTTTATCCAGCGGTAGGTTGGATGAACGGATCCTCTGCTGGCCCCTTCTCACATCTGTTGCCCCTATATGGCAGCAAAACCTTTTACCATTTGATCAGTGAACAACGACGCATTCCTTTCTACTGGCTACAAACACCTTCTGCTGGCCCGCCAGTCTTTTCGGGTGAGGTTAATCCACTCTGTGTGTACCTTTGATGTCTCACCGCTTAATGACTCACACAGTCCTAAGACCCCACACGTTTGTGTGTGCTACGTGTGCGTCTGGTCACAATCTCTCCGGTCGACTACTGAGACGACAACAACAGGCAGCGAAGATGTGCCTGCCTTCCCGTTTGCGAGCCCATCTGCCAGTTGACTCACCACAGTGCAGCTTGCCTTGCCCCATCAACGTGTCGAACCTGGCCACAACAACACTACTTTCCGATGCGTATTTCAACAGAACTGCCATCAACAGTACCAGCTTCATAACTATAAGACTGTTCGTCGCCATCCTACAGATGCATTTTGTAGACCGCATGTGGGCTGCAGCATCGAGATCAATTCCAGTAATGGAAGTCGCAAATTTGCCATAGAACACCTCCATACACAAATACATCGACTGGGTAGCATAATCCGAGGCTGAACTGTTGGATTGTCGTATACCGCATAACTCGAACGTTGGCTGCCGCATCGATCACACGGGATACGGCAATATGTCACTTAGTTTAGCCGGAAACCTGTTCGTTTGAAATGGGTACCTAAACAAATTCGTTCGGAAAAACATGCGGTTCCCAGCGCCAACGTCTAAACCAGCTCCCGATAAATATCAATTATCCAGAATATCGTTGCCGTTTTAGGTTGATTCGGTGGGGATACTGACCCCAGGCATTCTCCCCACTGCCACCGCCAGCAAGTACTGTGCAGTTGCTTTACGAGTTGTGAGTCCGAATTTTACGCATAAAATATCGCGGGCCAAGAATCCCGTTTGCGTTCAAAATTTCTATTCGTG